CCACCCCCACTGGGCACATATTTGCCCTTATTTTTCAACTTAACCAACAAAATTATTATTCAAAAAAATGAAGAAGGGCCTTAAATTTCATCCACCTTTCGGCTCCCAAATACTCTTGATGTCAACATTTTGGTTTAAAAAATAGCCTCGATATTAATCTTTTGGCTCATATTTGCCCTTAATTTTAATAGTTCTAGTAAAGTAAAGTAATTGAATATTTGTTTATTATGTTGCCTAATCTAATTGGTCTAAATTTAAACTCTTGTCAAATAAATAATAAAAATCACATATGCTTCATACTTTGACCTGGTTATGCTTGAAAAATAGTATTAAAAAGATTATTAATTTCATGTTATCTTCCTATTGACTTATTTTATATCAACCCCCAATTTATTATAACTAAACTCATAACTGAAAATCCGATTAAAATTCATACTCACCACGTCTGATTGTTCATCTAATTTTGTTATTAATATAAAATTTTCTATCAGTTATCCAATTATCTTGTTCATTCTCATTTTTTTTTTTAATCTCTTATTTGTAATCAAGATATCAGTGACTCATACTTAAAATGAACTTATGCATGTGTTCTTGTTCTTTTAATTTGTATTATTATCATGGTGGGATAGGAGAAAAGATAATTTTCATTCTTTTATTTTAAATTTTGGGTACACACAAAAATAAAAATACGTACACAATTGCTTAATTAAATAATTTTCTATTGAATTAATCGTTTTTATAGGGATAAGACACAAATATCCCCCTAAACTATGACCGAGTTAAGGTCTTATTACCCCTCAAACCCATTTTCTTTTTGTAATTTCTTACACCTTTTTGGCTTGCGTGGCCTCCAAATATCTCCCACACGGTTCAAGTAAGTGAGAGTCACAGAGTGTGCCACATAAGCCAAAAGGGGTAAACAATTACAAAAAGAATAAGTCTGGGGTAATAGAACTTTAGTTTAGTTAAAAATGTGTCTTTGTAATTTCGGTCATAATCTAGAAGGGTACTTATGCCTTATATTCCATTTTTATATGAATGTCATCATTATTTTCCTCCTTTCTTATCCTTTGTTTTGTCATAAGTTGAAAAAAAAAACTGAAATTTAAAATGTTGGACAAAATCAAAGAAGAAAAGAAAATTAAAAGAGAGGAAGTGAATGGGGAGGAGGAGGTGAGGGTAGAGAGTATATGGCTAACTTTTATTTTTATTTTACTATAGAACCCAAATTTAGGCCAATCACATGAGTATATGTTAAGTAATTTCAAATTATTTAATGTGGAATGACCTAAAATGCCCTAAACTATGAAATTTTGAACAATATTTTTCCTCCATCTACATTGTGAGTGTGGACCATTAGAAATGGAAAAAAAGTGGTTGAAGAAAGGAATACAGACTATCTATTTATACAAGGAGAAGATAAATTTATGTATGCTAACTAACCTGACTAGCTACTGCGGTTATACAGCTGGCAACGATGCGATAAAATATCTAACTAACTCATAACTAACTTGGAGATGTGACTAACTATAATTTCAATAATATATATTAATTGGTTCATGTGGAACTCTATTCTAGCCCGGCCTAATACACATGAATCTCGATGCTGAACTTTCAATAACTTTTGTTTGTTTCTTTGTATAAGTAGTCACACCTTTCGGGTTGTTTGGAAAAAATCATAACAAATACAACAAAATCAAACCTTTGCTATAATAATGAGCATGTGGTGGTTTATAACAACTTTAGCCATTACTGCTTTCATTTGTAATTCCCCTGTTTATGCTTATGATAACAACCCTCTACAGGACATATGTGTTGCTGTTAACGACTCTCAGGCTGCAGGTTAATCGTCCTTCTATAATAATACTTATTTGTTTCGGAATGAGGCATAGTTTTTGTATATATGTTGTATAATCTGAATAATATGCTTAACTTTATTTTGTTTCCCCTGCGCAGTTTTCGTGAATGGAAAGATTTGCAAAGACCCAAAGTTTGCAACAGCAAATGATTTCTTTGCTTCAGGTCTTAATGTTAGTGGCATTGTGGTTCCCGCGATTGGTGGTGCTGCAAAGTTTGTGGATGTAGACAACATGCCTGGACTTAACACTCTTGGTATTTCTACTGGTCGTGTTGACTTGGATCCTCAACGTATTGTTCCATTTCACATACACCCTCGAGCTACTGAGCTGATAACTGTCCTGGAGGGTATTTTTTATGTAGGATTTCTTCTTCCTGATCCCGCAAACTTCTTTAAGAGTCGTCTCATCTCCAAAATCTTGTATCCTGGCGATGTGTTTGTGAACCCAATAGGTCTTATTCACTTCCAGTATAATGTGGGAAAGAAAAAAGCTGTTTATCTTGCTGCTTTCAACAGTCAAAAACCTGAACTTATCATTATTCCTAATTCAATCTTTGCTTCAAATCCACCCATTATGGACGACGTTCTTTCCCAAGGATTCCAACTTAGTAAGACACAGATTGCAGAACTTCGAAGGAAATTCTCTTAGGCTATATTATATGTCAATAAAAATATGATTTCTGAAAGTTGTTTGCAGTGCACCAACGTCTTATGAAAGCATTGGAATAATACTTTACTCCTAATAAATAAAGTGGCAATGAATGTAACTATAATCTTTCTTCGCAATATATACTAATGAATAAGCTCTATGTTGGCCTTGGGCCTTGGCCAATACCTTGTGTAATCTGAGAGTGAAATTGACATGCTTAATAACTATATATAATCAACAACTTGAATTAATTGAGATAGAGAAATGGAAAGACTGGTAAAAATGAGTTTGCTGTCATGAGGGATCAACAGAAATGGATAATGCCTAATAAACAATGATAGGATCTTTCATCAATTCCAGGGATATAGAACGGTGAAAATCATCTGGTATTACGGCCTTATGAGATGTTGCCTCTGTGGATGCTTATCCTACAAGTTGAGGACTTCTTCTTCAAAGAAAAATTGATCTCCTAATTCTCAAACAACATTAAGTCCTTAATTTTCCTCGGTATCATTGACGCTTTCTCTATCCTCCCCTCTGGATCTTCACTAGTATAGCAGTGGCCATTTCATGAAAAGCATATGATTCTTCTGTGATATCATCCGTTCCAGTCAGCTATAATTTCTCTGTTGGGGTTTATTTGCCCTGATTTCTTACCATAAATAAGTTTTCCTTTTAGGAAAAGGTTTTAATATTTTACTAGTCCTTTTCTTGTAGGAAAGGTTCTAGGATTCTATAAATATAGGCTTGTTCCTTCTAACTTAATCAGCATTCACAATGTAATCTTAAGGGCTTTGAGAGTTTTGGTTAGGGGGAGAATTTGTGGGTCACAAGCTTGATACGTTATCACTTGTGTGAACCTCCCATGTATTCCGAGTGAATTGGATTGAGGTTATTTCTCTCTATATTTTGTACTCTCATATTTATAGTGGATTGCTCATCTCCTTTGTGGACGTAGGTCGATTGACCGAACCACATTAAATCTTTGTGTCTTTGTATATTTCTTGTTTGTCTTCTTACTCATGGTCTTTCGAGGTTTGCTTTGCTAGCTTCCGCATTACACCTGCTTATTTCGGTCCTAACATTCTCAATCAACCACCTTAGGATAACTGGATGTATATCATCATCGTTTCCCTTAGTGTAAGCGA